TCCGAAACAGGCTCTGGGTGCTGCAGACGACCAGCCCGATAGCGTAACGATTCTCGCTGACCAAGGCCATGAGCTGCAACTCCTGGACCAAATGCAATACACCAACAACAGCCATCAACCACACTCGAAGGCGGAAAAGAAGGCCAAAAGCCCAAGCCACCAAAATGACACAAAACATCCAGAAGGACCTGATTAACCCTGAAGCCGTAAATCCAAGATCCCAAATGTCGAGAATAAGGCTTGGAGGAGTATTCAGCATTGCTCCAACAGGTCTAGGAGGCAACATCTTACAATGTCGTTTAAGGCCTGCATGCCCTGCAGGGGGTGATAGCGCAAATCAATACCCACAAGCCTTGGCACCCCATAACCCTCCAATTCCATCTTGACTCAACGCCACCAAACTTCCGAAGCAGGCAAGGGGCCTGCCAAAGGCTCACCGAGGCGCGCAGCCAAGACCAGGCTCGCCAGTCCCTGTCATCCACCGCCAAGGATCACGTAAAGGATAAATAACTAAAGTGCACATACCTCTAATTTATGATGTTTTGCACGTTGCTTTAACAGGGGCCGGCCTCGTGGAGGTTTCGGTATACGTAAGATGTCATATGCTAGAAAGACTACCCGCACGTAAACCCTCGGCTCCTCAAGCGTCAGCCCTAACCTACCTCCGAAGCATGACAACAATCCCTGAACCACCAAACCCTGGGCCCCTGAAACCACCCAAATCCCGATAAGGCAACTTAGGGTTTAGGGTTTAGGGAAACCCAGCAGGTTCCAACCTTCAAGGCTTCTTGGAGGATGACCCCCGTCTGCGGCACCTTGGCTTGCAGCCAAGGATGGTCCACCCGAACGGTCCATGCAGCGATACAGTATAGTCTATGCTTTTGCCTCGAAGGGCTTCGTACACAACAACTTGAGTGCCGATGCATGGGTGTGCACCCTAAGGGCGAGCTTCCGGAAGGATGCAACTGTCAGGCTTCTTCAACCAGCTGATTATATTAGGGTCCCTTTAGAACACGAGCCCCAACCCGAATTCCTTCCGCTTATGACGAACAACATCCCATGTCACAGAGTATCTCTGCAGGAAACGGTCGTATCCAATTTCGATGATGGCACCTTAAGTTCGGAAAAAGGCACCCAAACACAAACAACAACCGGATATCAGAAACGCTTCACCCTGGAAAAAGATGGGTCCGGCACCCAGTCTCCCCCTTTGATGCGGCTCTGCTTGACCTGCTTCTACGGTTTAGGGTTGGGTTGTGTCTGAACTGTTTGAATGTTTCGTGGATGTTTGTGGATCAAGTCCGGGTTTTTTGCTGCCTTGAATGTACGAGTTAATTGCAGTGCAGGTGCAAGGCCTTACTTCAGAAAAAAAGACGAGTAAGAGAACAGTCTTCAACACTGTCTATCTGTTCGACAGGTTTGTATCGTATGCCGTCGTATGCCCATCTACATTTGGTCGGAATTAGTCGGCTTTACGGCCTTGCCCAGGCGTAGATTGGATCTTCCACAGATCCAGTTACGAGATTGCCTTGTGCATTCTAAACTTCTGAACGGAAGAAGGAACAAACAAAGGTCGGCTGACAACTTTCACGCGCTGCCTTACGCCAGCGAGCACGAACCACTCACTGCGTTGAACGGTGCTTCTACGAAGAGGAGTCTCCAGATTGATCGATGCTACGGCATGAACAAACCCTAAACCCGTATACATCCTAACCCCTGGTACTATTACGTCCTAACGCCTAATCACGGTAAACCCCGCAATCAGATCTCTGAGTTGCCGGCCAGGATCGCGCAGGCCTCAGAAAAGCGAAGCTCGTGGCTTTGGGGATTATGTCTTGTCAATTGTCTGCGCTCGTGGCTTCGTGCTGTGCGCTTGTTGAGTCTTGGGTCCCGGGCGCAAGACCTGTCTTGAGGGCCATGTGGTAGTCGCTACAACTGTAACATTGAACCAACACCACTTCAAACGGCGCTGGTAGACCGCCATAGGCCCCAACTGTGTAAAGCTTGAACCTTACACGCACAAGCCTAGACCCGAAGCCCAAACCCTAACTGAGCTGAAGGTGCTCATGAACACCGGCCCCAGTACAGCCGAGAAGCGCAGTTCTGCAAAACGAGGACAGACAGCAACGCCGCTTTGGACGCCTGGGCTATCCGGGAGATTGTTCATGAGGTTGGGCAGGGGAAGGATAGCTGCGAGTAGCCCGAAAAGGCTCGGATGTCGAGACCGAGTATCCTTTGGGACAGACTTGAAGAATCCGAAGTTCGCGCACCGTCCGACGTTGGGAAGCACATGGACAAATCACTGAACGTAGGGGGACTCTTTCTGACAAAGAATGACATGAATTTGGCCTTCAAACTAACGAGTCCCGCAAGCTCGAGTCGTGCTAGAATGAAACTACAATTATTTCAACTGAAGCTTAGCAGGTGCCGGAGTCTGCCCCATGAAACCTGTAAAACAGCACGAACCCAACGAAACTACATAACTGCACTCCCGAGTCAAGCCTGACGCCAGGTACTTGCTTCACTGACTGAGCCCTGGACTGCTCCAACACCAACATCGCCACTCTTGACGGACATTACGCTGCAGCCTGTGCTAAAAAACTGGCATCATGCCTGCATACTGCATTTTCAGGACTTCGGGGCTGAGGCTCCAGGTTTAAGACAGGCGATACCCTAGGATAGTACGAGTCCCCAGCAGACAATTGCTCAAGCAGAACGACTATCTGAGGATCATCTGAAGTCTTTCGAGGACTGCATCCCTGGCTGCGGATCCGAAGCCGCCTTGTGGCAGCCGGGCGTTTGCATGCACAAGCAGATGACTAACTGATTGTTCACATTCATAGCTGTGCTATTGATTCGTGTGCTCACATGGTAATTCTAAATTTCATCCGAAACGAAGGCTTGAGGGTTCAGGGCTGGGATGCTGCTGCATCTTGTGCTCTGGGAACCACCAAATGACCACCGTTTTTCAGGACCTCTAGAAAGAAATCTTTCACAAGGAACCCTACAAAGTAGGTTATCTGAGGTCAAGGTACTGTAGACTCTGTCACAGCCTACCAGTATTTCCATGAGCAGCATTTGCCAATGCTCTGTCGTCGTTCATCATTGACATGCACGTCACGAGTCTGAACAGTTTTGACGGTCGTCCGTGTTGTTGCTCCGTGTGAGCATGACTGAAGAAGCTTGCAGCTTCCAAGCTGAGCCAAAATGAAAGGGCACAACGGGGTGCAAAGATGGTTATCTTCCACTGGGGGAATAGCATAGAGAAGGAGCCCCACTAATGATGCTTTCATGAGGCTTGGAGACTCTCCAACCTTGCTGGTCCAACTATGCCAGTGCGATCGTACTCGTCCGATTGCAGCCTCAAATATGGCAGCACTCTTCTGTCAGCGATTCAGCGATCCCGGGAAATCCTTTCACAATCCAAACCATGCCATAGCCGTAGCCCAAATCAGGGGAGCGGCCAACCAAGAAGCCCAAATTCTCAAACCGGAAGCCCAACACGCAAGATTTAAAGCCTTATGTACATTGCTTTCCAGCTATATCAGCAAGAGACACACATGCTTTTTCCATCGATTTCGCCTAGCATGGCTTGCACTTCCGCTGCGATCTCATCGAACGCACATCCTTGGCATAAGTTCGAGGTGTAATGCAGCAGAATACGGCTTTTGGGCTGTACCAGGACATTTCATTCGCCTTCTGCGCTGCTGCAAGAGTTGCCCAGATGCGTCTGTCAGAAAGAGTCTAAAACCTTCGAGGCTCAATGACGGACGGGATGAAAGCATCAAGGGCCGGAGTCGATGAGGAGACATTTGGGATGCCTCTGGAAAACTCGTTTGGGATTGAACGTATGTCGTTGAAAGCTTCGCAGACTGGCCAGAGCCTGTAGGGTTAGCTGAAACTCTCAAGGTTTGCCACTGTAAAATTCTTGCCGGCAGCGGTTGAGGCATCTGCGGAACTCCCAGGCTGCCGGGATGTATTCGTCGAAGGGAACGACCTGCTTGCATGAAAACACTGTCCAAACGTCCTGGAGCAGAAGCTACTGGTAGGTGATGCTTTGGAGGCGGAACCGTGCGAGCTACGGTGGTCTCCGGCTGAAGCTCCAAACTGTCAGACCCGAGGCCTAGTGCCCTCAACCCTGCAGCACTCCTACCTTGAGCCCTGAAGCGCAAGCAAGTCATATTAAATCACTGTTGGACAGTTCCGCCAGCCTTCACGTCCGCGCTGCCTGTGACGATGCGAGCCTTGACCTGCATCACAAGGCAGCCGCGCTGAATGTGCCGCAGAGTCTGTCTCTCGCTCTCTCTGTCTCCCTCTCTCTGTTTCTCTCTCGATCGTTCGTTCTCTCTCTCTCTCTCTGTCTTTCTCTCGCTGCACCTCGATCTATCTAGCTATCTATCTATCTACCTATCTAACTAACTATGAATCTACCCATCTATATATCTATCTAAATATGTAGCTATGAACCTATAAAATACCTACCTACCTGCCTGCCTGCCTACCTATACCTACTTCTAGCCCAAAGGGACAAACGACCGAAACGTAGGGCATCCTATACGTGTTGGTGATGAGCCCTCTCTGCCACTGGAAGTCTAACGGACTCGAGTTCATCTTATTCAAGCTTTCAGGTTGTTGACGACATGCGAACATAATGCTGTAGTGCAGCACCCACTTCGACAGACACAGAAACACAAACCTGACAAAACTCGCTCAGAAGCTCGAGCCGATTGCACGCTTCCGGCTGGGGTGCTCGGCCACAGGGCCATGGACAAAGCAACCACGGGCGAAGGGATGTCAACCATGATATCTCCAAAAAAATCAAGTGGAGAGAGAGTCGCGAAGTTGACGCTAACCGAAGGCTTAGTGACAGAGCCCGCTTTGACCGCACGACCTTTTCTACGACTGCTGCCGCTGGCTTCAGCTGTGACCATGTTTTATATAAGTGGTCCAAAATTCTCGATTGCCATGCAAACCCAGAATCCAGCAACCTTGGGAGGGATCTAGAAGGGAACCGTTGCTAGCAGTGTGCAGCCTCTGCAGTTCAAGTTCTGAAGGATGCGCTCCAAGGCCACATGGGGATCCGGTTCATTGCATGGCCCACATACTGTAATGCGGCCTCCCGAATACTGGTGGTTTGCTTTGGCTATGCCGAGGGCTCCATCGTCTCTGAAGAAATGCAAACCTCGAGGGCTGAGAACAACAAGCCAAAGCTCATCGAAATGCGGTACATCGCCATGCAGCGTGGAAGTCGACCTTATTCCTCTAAAACAGCAGGTCCAAACACAGTGCTGCTCCTTGAACTGGAGTATGCCATGCTTGACTTCAATGCGGGTACCATTCCTGAGCCAATCCGCGCTAGTCGCGTGCAGGCCTCGCAGGCTCCTGCTGGCTCCGGCTTTGTCAGCTGCACTTCGGAGGAACCAGGCTTCGGGATGCAACCGCTTATCGAGTTCAAAAGCGATCGCCTCTATTCGCAAACCCCGAATGGTCGGGCTTGCATTCTGAAGTGGAAACTTCTTGTAGAACTTGTCTTGCAGGACCTTTGATTGTGACCGCGATGCGTGTGACAAAGCTATTGACATCTCGGGGCAGTTAACCTCCAGATCTGCGACTCGTCGGCAGTTGCTGGCTGCATTGAACAGCTTCGTTGACATTGCAGCCATGGCATCTCTCCAATTCGTCTGGTGCTTGCCGCCGCATACAATAACGGTCCATCCTCTTTCGGCCGTGTGTTGCCCATTCCGGTACATGTAGGTGCGGAGATCATGCAGCACGACCCAGACTCTGCTCGGCGTAAATAAAGCCAAACACAAATCATCAAACTGATTTTGTCCTAATTTGATTCCGCAAAACTGAGCTTTCCACCGTTGCTCGGCCCGAAACCAGCATATCTGTGAGCTCTTGCATTCGACTCGTCTGCCGCCTATGCTGAAGTCATATTCGGCTTGATCTGGCCGTAGCAGTTTTCCACGGGTGCCAACGCGAGAAACAGGATCTTTGACTTCCATGTCCGGATGCTTTTGACTCAGCACCTGCCGAACTACATCCTTCAGGACATGGCCTCGACGTTGGGGGGAAAGTTGTGCCAAAGGGTTTCCTGCGTAAGCCTTCGATGTCTCGCCTACATCCTCCAAAATCGCCTTGAATTCTCGAGCTGGGACGACGAGCTGCCGGGCACCAAGGCCAAGAGATGGGTCAGCGACAAGCCAAGCGGCACGTATCGGATTTGGTCTGCCTCCCACCTGGATAGAGCAGAAGGGCCGTCCAAGCATGTCGCAGATTGTCGGCTTCACCCGATCTCAAGCCCAGGCATCGGCCTACGACAGTCGCTTTGCACAGCACTACCCCTTATCCCCCAAACCATGAAAGGTCGGAACATCTGCAGTAAATAGGCGCCCTTGCTTGTGGATGAGCCGTTCAGGGATATACGCAGGGAGGCCGCAACGACATGCTCTCAATTCCGGTCTGGCAAAGGTGGTTCGACATGGTCTGCATCTACTCGTACAAGCTCTCCTCTGTGAAATCTTCAAGCGACAGCACGGCATGTCTCACCGTGCGAGTAATGTTGACTTCAGTTTTATAGCCCCCAAAAAGTATAAAACTCGAGTCCCAGAACTCAATTATAACCCCGCTCAATCATAAAACCCCAGCCCCGGTACTCAAAAATACTCGCTCTCCCGGATGTTCTTTTGTGGTGTTTATGCTCTAGATAGCAGTACCGCTGAACCTAATCACCCCAAACTCGGACCAGTGACTCCGTAGAGACAACAGACAGCAACAAAGACAGTGCACCTTGGCATCCGGGTAGATGCGCTCTACCCTCAGGCCGCAAGTCGCCTGGCACTCAGAATGACGAACCATGGAGCCAACTCTTTAATCCAGGTCTGACGCGACTTCTAGGTAATTATTCATCACACTCTTGTCCAGGCGAGTTGTTCCGAGGTACTTCGAAGGGAAGCTTCTTGGCCAACCAGAAACTTTTCAACACTCCTCAGGAAGAACGTAAGATGAATGCTGACAACCAATTGATAGGTCAGTCTTCAACTTCAGTTTGTCCTAGGCCTGCGTCCAAACAGGCACGCGGCACATACACTCCAGCGGGCATGCCCAGTCTCAGCATCTCGATGTTTCTTGTGCCTAGGATGGCCTAGGATATTCATCGAAGCAGAAACGAAAACATGATAAGTGATCCAAGAGGAGGTCCCAAGACGGAACTACTCAAACTCGAGATTTTCCTGAGCCTTTCGCCCTTGTGAGCAATAAGAAGCAAAAATAGCGCACATGCTGCCCTTAAGCCCCAAAATCCTACATGTCCGACCTATTTAAAGAAGGTCTCGACATCTGCAATGGAAACCTGAGCTCTGGGTATCCCCAGCCGAAACAACGCAACCCTCTGCAGCCCTTCTAGGCCTCGTCGCGGTTGGCTGCAACCAGCTCCCAATGTGGCTCCCACATGGCCTGCGGTTCAGAGTATGGGTTTCGGGCCACTGGGATCCGCAGCTCCCAAGAAACGGACAAGACGGCGCGAAGCTTTGAAAACCCTGTCGATGCTCCGTGCGCTGTTAAGCTCCCAGGTGCATCGCCTATCCTTCTCTGAGGCCTCTGATCCTTGTAGGCACAATTCCGAAACTTCCTGTGATGGGGCATCTCAACTACACACTTTAACCCTGCCCTAGGAACCCGACCGTCCGACTTAACGATTCCTTTTCTGAACACTGTGGACCTCGTGCTTGTCAATGGTGCGGTGCAGGAAGAAGGGAATACCACCAGGCGAGTGCTGGACCATGGTATGGCCTTATGTTTCGGGTCTTAAGACTTTTGACACTTTCAGGTGCTACAAAGTTTAGGCCTCACGGCTTCTAGAGTTTTAAAGATAGATTGTCCGGCTTTCTTGCCTTTAATTAGCGCGTATCTCGTTCGGAGTCATGGTTTGGGCCGCAGAAATTCGGTCGCGAGGCCTCGTGGGCTCATCCTTTATAGGCACCCAAGCTCACAGCAGGGCCAACTTCCACTTCATCCCCCGCACTTCCACTGAAGTAGGGCCTCCAGTTCCGAGCCTGGTGCTTGATGGTGAAGTTGGGTTCTGCTAGTTCCTAGTTGCTGAGCTCTCTGGTGCCTAAAACAGATGAGTAATCTGGTTGACGTGGTTGTAGACGGGGCGGGGGGCTGTATGTGAGATCCTGGCCAGAATCTCCGACTCGACTCTCATCGAATTATTTACATAGGCTGTCAGTTTATGTCGGCGTAATCCATGGACATGATGTGGGCAAGCGAAGTAATGAATACACGCCAAGAAGCCTCACTGTTGTCAGGAATGGGGAAACGAAGGCAAAAATCCCCTTCACTCTAAGCGGATTCACACACAGCTAGCTTTAGCAGAGTATTTTGGAGCGCGGATGTTGTCGATCCTTCATGTAGTGGGGCCATGAAGGCTCACATGTGCTGCCTCCAAACCGCATGTCGACGAAGCTTTGCATCGCCCATGGAACTCTTATCCGGTGTATCACCAACTCTTCTTTCAAGGCTATCGCTCTTAGTAGTCGGTTTTTTATTTCTATCTATCTACAAGCCACAACTCGGTCATTCGGTCTCATATGCTTGGGGTGTCCGTCCTCGGAGTACAGAATCTGAAGAACCGAGTGGGGTCGCTCCACAAGATTGTCGCGAAACGGTGAGAGCCCGTTGCCCTTTGCCCGAAAAGAACCCAACCGGCTTTCTCGAGCAACGGGAGGCTGAAAGCCATGGAATTCCAAGACGGATTCTACGACACAACAGTGCATATAAACTTGCGCACCGTGTTCGGGCTGGCGAAGGCACAAGAGCCTTCAGTGCTGAAATTTTGCCAAGTTCTACCAGCCGCATCAGGCCCAACACAACCCGTAACGACTTAGACCACCAGTTAATCATTGATCGTGAATATATCCTCAGAACCCCTTTTAGTGAGCATCTTCGACATGAAATGCACATCGTGGAATATGCATAATAATCTAGGAGCCTTGACAATTATAGTTGAGTTTCGCAGTAGTGAATACTATTATTCATTATTCAGAATTCAGGCCCCTATATTTACCTAAACTCCTGTGGCCTCAAGCTAGTTTGGCAAACATCTTGTGCGGTCCCTTGACTTAGGGTACAGGGTAGGGTGACTTGAAGCCTCCTGTCTTGCCCACCATCTATAGGGTCATACCCTACCTCTTTTTCAGCGTACCTACTTTTCTATATATATATATATATATACCAGGTCCTAACCATAAAAAATAGGTATCCTAAAAGCGGTTGGGACATGTTCCTCTAGGTAGTGTACTCTGACACGGACTCATGCAAGGCCGGCAGGTCTCGAAAAACACGCTTTGAAATTAGAGCTCCGTTGATGGGCAGGTCCTTCCGACAAGGATCCTAGTGTTTAGGGTCCATAATTCTGGGGTTCTGTACTATGATCTGCAGTATGCTAGCCCCAGAGCTATGTTACACCCCGCTAGATCCCTAAAATGAGTGCACTTGTCAATAGGATCCGAAACATACGACGGGTTACCCAACAACGCACGCACGGAGATCGTTTAGGCAGTTGTTGAACACACTGTCGCCCTCGGGCTGATTGAATAAAGATCTTTCCCCAAAAAGTTCACCCCAACTGCATGAACAAAAAGGCAATCTTGCTCTGCGGGCCGTGCTCATCACGTGGGACCCCTGGCACCAACAATTCCCGACATAGCTCAGGCAGAATCCCATAAAGGTAGGTGCTTAGGGTTTAGGGTTTAGGGTTTAGGGTCCTAAACCCTAAACCCTAAACCGTGGCTGTGCTTTAATAATGGGACTAGGGTTTCGGAGGGTCACTCGGTACGGTAGTTACTTTAGGGATACCTAAAAAGCACTACAAATTACTGCTCAGGCCCTTATACTTATACACTGAAAGCCTTTAGTGTCTACGTGCTAGCTAGAATCATCGTGAACCCTAAACCCTAAAACCATAAACCCGAAACCGGCTAGAAGAACTGGCGGGCAAAATTGTCAGCCATCACCTGCTGCCCGAGCCTGGGATGAGACTCGATTAGTCCGGGCTTTGGGAGTTAGGATCTGTTACACGTAGCTCAAAAAGCCTACCTTTTGCGTTCCTTACTATGGTTTCTGTATATATCTCCCTAAACCCTAAAACCTAAACTAATATACTTCCTCGAAGAACAAGGGTCGGTTTCAGGGGCTACAGGGCGGGCTTCGGATGGGAATTCGAAAGTTGTTCAAGGGTTTTAAGGTTTATGTGGAGGGCCTTTGGGTGTCGTTCTGTTTCGGGCTTATAGGGTTTAGTTTAGGGTGTAGCGTTTAGTTTAGGGTTCAGGGTTAACTGGCATTGGGGTTTAGGGGTTTGGGTTGCGATTCTAGGGTTTCGGGCTTCAATGCAAGCCTGCCACCCAAAATTTGCGAAGTGCGCAAGGCCGCTAAACCCCCCGAAACACTAAATCCTCGACCCGCAACCCTAAACAACGAGCTTCCGAAAGAGTCCCTGTCCAGAACATTCGGTCACGACAGGTTCTTGCCTTCTTGCCAAGGGAGAAAGGGTGTACTTAAGAATAGCATCGCTTGCCAATTTCCGCAGCTCCGAGATAGAGGGGCCGTACCAATTGGAATAGGGTCTGGGGTATGTCATGCTGAAGATAACAGGGGATTATGCACAACCTTTGTAAGTATATAGGTATTCAGATTCATTCATTGAGTGATAGGGCCGGTACGGGTCGGGGGTCAGTCTAGGCATTTAGGATCCAAGGCCTGGATTTTGGAAACTTGAATGACATATATGGTGTTGGCGTTTCTAAAAATGTTTATACACTATTTGTTATATATAATATATTGAATATATTGTATATCGGATATTATCTACTTCGTGAGTTATAAAAACATATTATTTCTGGACAAAGATGCTATGCCGACAAGAGGCAGGTTCGGATGGTATTCGTCGAAGAAGCCAGGCTTCTGAGGGCACTGGGGCTTGTCTGACTACGGGGGCAGCTTTTTGAGGCGGAGCCCTGGTTGGAGAGCCTGATGTAAATTTGGGGTTTGGGCGAAGGCGGGCTCTGAGGCTAGATGTGTGCATATACATATATATATATATATATGTCTACAAACATATGTGTATGTGTATATATATATATGTATTTCTTACTTCCCCAACAATTAAGCCAGGGAAATAAAAAGGTCAAACTTTTAGATGACTACTAAGTTATGATAACCCAAAAAGTTTAAAGGTTGGGTATTGGAGAACTAAGATATAAACATAATT